CGGAGCCGCGGCGGGGGCGGCCCAGCCTGTGGGATGCAGGCAGGTCATGGGAGGCTCCTGGAGCCATCCCCGGGCGCAGGGGACAGCCCTGCACTGCCCTGCTGCCTTCCTTGTCCGCCGCCCTCCTTCACATGGGGCTTCTGCGGAGGGACGGGGAAGGGCAGCCCTGGGCTGGCAGCAGGGCACCAGCCTCAGCAAGCATCCCTCTCCCTTTGCACGCACCCGAGGACCGACCGGCACGCCTCCCCCCAAGCCTGACACACACTGACCCATCCCTGGGCACACACACACACGCAAATGTGCACACCGAGGTACACACACCTCCTCTGCACAAGCCCTTTCACGTGCCGATGCCAGCCTGTACCCAAACGTGCGTGCAAGGCGTGTATTTACGCACTCGCGTCGTCAGAAACCGCCCCGCTCCTGCCGATGCCCAGACCGTGGGCGTAGCATCGCACCCACCTCCCAAACCGCTTTTCCTCACCCTGCTCTCTTTGCCTCCCCCAGGCTCGCAGCTCCTGGGCGCAGCGAGGTCTTTGCTATGATTGCAGCAGCGGCCACCTCTACGCGCTGCCCAGACCCCTCGCCGCACGGTTCAGCCGGGCTCCGCTACCCCCGCTGCATGCCCCCTGCCCGGGAGCAGCATGGGCAGCGTCAGTAGCCTCATCTCCGGCCACAGCTTCCACAGCAAGCACTGCCGAGCCTCCCAGTACAAGCTCCGCAAGTCCTCCCACCTGAAAAAGCTCAACAGGTACTCGGACGGGCTGCTCCGCTTCGGCTTCTCCCAGGACTCCAGCCACAAGTCCAGCTCCAAAAGCAGCAAGAATGAGGACTTCTTTTACATCAAGGTCAGCCAGAAATCACACGGCTCCCACCGAGCGGACTATACCTCCCTGGCCGGTGGGGAGCTGGGCAGCCAAGCCGGGACGAGCGGCATGGACTTCGGGACACCCACGCCGCAGAAGCTGATGCCCTTTCCCAGCCAGCTGGAAGTGGTTAGTAGGGGACGCGGTGGCTCCAGGAGCAGGGGGTGTCCCACTAGACTGCATCTGCCCTCCAAGCGGATGCAGGTCCCACCGCAGGGTTGTCCTGGTCCAGGAGAAGGCTCAGAGAAAATACTTTGTGCCGAGGAAGCGGGAGGAGAGGGGCAGCGGGGAGGTGCTGAGGGTACCCTGCCACCCTCTGCTTTTGGGAATTTGGATCAGCAATATGATCCGTGTCCTTTCATTTCCAAACATGCTGTTTGCCTCCCAACAGAGGCAGTTTTAGCCGTCAGCATCCTCCTGAGCTTTCAGCCCTTGATGGAGACCCAAGCTGTCCCTGCAGTGGGGGTCTCGTCCTCGGGGGCAGAAGGGATGGGAGAAAAGAGATGATTCGGTGTCGGTCTGTGCTGATGGGCTCTGCTCTTCTCCCCAGGGCGCGGAGAAGCCGGCTGTGCGACCGACTGCCTTCAAACCGGTGCTTCCCCGGTCCAGCACCATCCTCCACTCCTCCCCGGAGAACGGGGGTCACCTCTCCCAGCAGCTGCACGCCCCGGACAAAGCCAAGGAGCAGGAGCTGAAGCCGGTGCTGTGCTCGGGAGGTCTGTCCGACTCCGGCAGGAACTCCATGTCCAGCCTCCCCACCCACAGCACCAGCAGCAGCTACCAGCTCGACCCCCTTGTCACGCCCATGGGACCCATCAGCCGCTTCGGGGGCTCAGCCCACAACATCTTGCAGTGTGCCATCATCCAGGACAGCAACATGATGAGCCTGAAGGCCATGTCCTTCTCCGACGGGGGCAACAAGATCCTCAACCCCGGCAAAGCCCCCCACCACCATGCCGCCGAGAAGACCACTTGCATCCGTTCGCCCATCTCCACGGACGAGTCCACCATCCAGGAGCTGGAGCAGAAGCTGCTGGAGAGGGAGGGGGAGCTGCAGGAGCTTCAGTCAAGCTTCGAGGAGAAGGAAGTCAGCTCCTGCCAGGCTTACGAAGAGAAACAGCGGCGCTGCAAGGAAGAGCTGGAGGGCCTCAAGCAGAAGTGCAACAGCAAGCTCAAGCAAACCTCGCAGAAAACCCAGCGGACGCAGCAGGTCCTTCACCTCCAGGTATTCCAGCTGCAGCAGGAGAAGAAGCAGCTCCGGGAGGAGCTGGAGAACCTCATGAAAGAGCAAAACCTGCTGGAGACCAAGCTGAGGTCCTATGAGAAGGAGAAGACCAGCTTCGCCCCAGCGCTGGAGGAGACCCAGTGGGAGGTAAGTGGCACTGGAGCACTGAGTGGTATCTCGGGCCGCCAATGCGGAAAGTAGAGCGTGTGCGTGGAAGGCGATAGTTCCGGCACCAGCAATAAACCACGCAGCTCTTCTCCATTTCTGTACCTGCATCCAGCAGCATCACGGAGGGTTTGAGCAGAGCAGATGGTGCACGCACTAAGCCCAGGCTGTAGGAGAGAGATATTAAAGCCGAGGAGAGCCCTAGTCTGTCACACAGAGTCTCTGCAAGTTATAATTGAGTGACTCACTGCCCCTCTTAACCCCTCAGCACTTCACATCATACAAGGAAACAACTACTGCATAAAAAACCCAGTCATTAAAATAACTTCGCGTTTCCAACCTCCAGCGCAGGGGTTTTCAGGCTGCCTGCCCCAAAGGAGCAGTAAAGCTGCCTTCCCACGCGTAAATAGGAACTACTGGGACTTGCCATGGTCATTTATTAGAGAGCAGTAAAACCTTCCACTCTCTGCTTAAGCCTAATTTTCTCACTGATTGGGTATTGCTGAACAAAGACCGTTAAACTGCTGAAAATTCAGACGTGAGCCTGCTCACCTGAATAACATACACTGATATAATTTCACTGTGGCTGTACAGGGAGAAGCATAGCTGTTGCCCGGCGTGCTTCCAGGAGCGTGGTGCTCACCTTCACTCCCTCGTATGCAGGGGTTTCTCATATCGCTTTCAGTATCTCTAGTTTATTTGCATTTTCAAGCCACGTTTCCAGGCTGTTGGCAAGCCCTACCAGAATTCCAGCTGCAGGGTCCCACTAAGAGCGGCTGGATGCTGAACCCCCAAAAGCTGTCTCCGGGAGCAGCTGTACCAGCCATGCTTTAAGCTCCAGCGGGATGCTCCAGTGGGATTTACAGGCTTTGCTCCCAGCTGTGATTTTGTGGGGTGTAGGGTGCAGTTAGGTGTCTGCTTGCGAAACAAGCTCAGCAAGTTTAACTGACCGCGTGAGCCATCAGCTGTGGTTTCGGGAAACATGTTGGACGGGGTGCGGAGACTTGAGCGCTTCTCCACACCATCCATTTCCACACCTCACCTGAGGTGTGTCAGCGCCTTAAATCCTCATGGACATTCACAAGCAGCCCTCCGCGTTGGCTGCGGTGTTGATGCGTGGGGTCCACTCCAGCCCCACTGAGAGCTGCGGCATCGCCTTCCATGCCGGGGCATCTCCCTGGGTGGGATTTCACGGTCCGGGTCTCCGCATGTCGAATGCCGGCTGTGCCCGGCACGGCTTGCATGGGGTACTGCAGGCGCTGCGGGCTTGCTCTGAGGCGCAGCCCTAACTCAGGTGCTGCATCCCTCCCCACAGGTGTGCCAGAAGTCGGGGGAGATCTCCCTCCTGAAGCAGCAGCTGAAGGAGTCCCAGACAGAGCTCAACACCAAGACCACCGAGATCCTCAGCCTGAAGGCTCAGCTGAAGGAGGTGAGGGTGAAGATGGAAGGGCTAGAGATGAAGACCCAGGACCTGGAGGGCTCCCTGCGCACCAAAGCCATGGAGCTGGAGGTGTGCGAGAACGAACTCCAGCGCAAGAAGAACGAGTCCGAGCTGCTGAGAGAGAAGGTGAACCTGCTGGAACAGGAGATCGTGGACCTGCGGACGGAGCTCGCCGTCCTCAAGGAGCAGCTGAGCGAAGCCCGGGAGGTGGCCAGGCCCTGTGCCGTGGTGGACGATGCTCAAGCCCTGCAGGGAGAGGTGGAGAGGCTGAGGGCAGAGCTGAAGGCTGAGCGGGACAACAACGAGCAGATGACCTCTGGCTTCCAGCATGAGCGGCAGACGTGGAAGGAGGAGAAGGAGAAGGTGATCCACTACCAGAAGCAGCTGCAGCAGAGCTACCTGCACATGTACAAGAGGAACCAGAACCTGGAGAAGATGCTCCAGCAGCTCGCCGCAGGGGAAGACGGCAAGGAGCCCATCGAGCTGGACATACCCGGTGCCGACGTCCCCTACGAGGACATCATCGCCACCGAGATCTGAGCCAGGTCTGCCTTCTCCTCCTTGAAGCTCGGGGGCCGGCGCCTCTTCCAGGCGAGAAGCGCTGCCCCGCAGCTCAGCCTGCGCCTTGTACAGTTCAGATGAGCCATGTATTTATTAGCAGAGCTGGTGGCCTGGCCAGCTCGCCAGCCCTTCTCCCCTCCCCGCGTCGCACCGCGGCGATGCCCTCCGCCGCCTGTCG